TTGTCTGAGTCTGACTGGTGCAGGTCCATTCCTCTCAACTCTCTATATTACTTCCTCTCTTCTCTTGTGCTGTCTAAATAAGGCAAAATTGCCCACAAAAATATCATTAAACTGCACTTTTTAATGTCCGTTTCTTAATAAAGCTCCACGCTCATTTCACATGCCTACTAAAGACAAATTGTTTGTGTAGTTACGGTCTCATATTTCAATATTTTCTAATGGTATGGGTTAGTCTTACACAAAAACAGCTTCGTTATTCTTAGTCTGGTCTGTAACAAATTATGTTTCTGCATGCTTCTTAGCCTGAAGCCCTCAGCCAATTTCTTCAGATTAAACCTAGCCAGGAACTGCAGACCTCCACCTCCACACTTTGACCTGACTTGTATGTGGTCAAGCCAACATGAGGGATTTGAACTGCGCAACCAGACACTGTTACAAGTTTACTTGATTGGCAAGTTGCTTTCATCCTCCCAGGGAGGGCCTGCGATGTAAGGAGCTTAGGACAAGCTCAAATCTACCTAGAACAAATTGCCAGAAGATCACACTCGCTTCGCAGACTTCAATGTGATTGTGCTAAGGTACAATGCACGAAAAGTTGTGATAAAGATAAAAATCTTAAAAAGATTAAAGATAAAGTTATATAAACGTTAGCTTGATTGTAAATTGTTTTTTAAATTTCTAAAAAATAAGAATGTTTCTTTGTCTCCTAAAAGGGAAGCCAACTGGAAAACCCCCAACACATTTCTTTCAATCATTACTGCTGAATTATTTTTGCAGATATTTGCGATTGTGATATGAGTTACAATTTCTTTCTTTTTTTTAATGTCTAAAAATTAGAAAAATAAAACATTTTAGCCACAGGAGAAAGACAAGAGTCATACAATGCTACTGCCAAATTCCTCTGGTAAGATAATCCCTGACTTTAAAGTTTCACCTTTGAGTCATTAGATCAATAAAGGACTGAAGGACTCACTATTGTCTTCAGTTTGGTACGCGCTCTTGGGGGCCCTGGTGGTTTGGGTCCATTTCACACGTCACCTTTCACTTCATAGAAGGACTCTGTTGGACAACAAAAGAAAATGAATCAGGCCAATGAAATCTCAATCACAATGTTTAGAACAACTATGACTTTAAAATAAGCTGGAGCAATTATTTACTCTCATTTGACACAAGGACTGATTGTAAGAATGTCGGATAGTCATATTCATTTCATTTATTCTAAAAAGTAAAAATACGCTCCAACAACAACAACACTGGACATTCTTCAGTTTGACAGTATCATCTTTATAATTGCATGGGGTCCCATTTTTAACAAACACCATATGATGCATAAAAATTGGTAAAAGTTTGCCTGGCCGACAGGGAAATAGTTTTAAATAAATAATTGGCGGTACTTAAAACTAAGCTTGGCAATAGATTATACTTGCATAGCAAAGAAGCGGATGGCAGGGATTGCTAAAGCAAATGGATGACAAAATAATTTATTGAGGTATCACAGATGAACCTCATGGAGAATTCATCAATGCAGCATTAAATTCAGCGAATTCAAGACATACAGAGATTGTAACAGGAAATCACCGGCGCGCAAATTCAAGGCGCACACAAGGCGAGCATACCTCATCTAAGAGTTTCTTTTGTTTGAAGCACTCTGAAATCCCTGCGGAGAGGAAGTAAGAACAAAAACTTATGAGCGTAATTGTCAGCGCACAAACACTATTCTGGTGCTACTGTATTATGTATCGCTCCATTTATTCTAAGCCGATCCTCCTCTCATGCTGTTTTGTGTTTAGGACTAATTGTTTTTAAAACTCATCAGTGAAAAGAGCCGACAATAAAGTGAGTAACAGGAACTTAACACTGGAAGCTCACCAACCCACTTCCTTCCTGCAAATGCAAGGAAGTACCAAAGTGTGCGCTCAAAAGCATACCAGCTGTTCATCTGGGAGGACAAGACAACAAAGACATTATTTGGGATAAACTGAGCACATTATTCGAAAATCTAACTGGAAACGTTTCTCGCCTGAAAAAAAAAAAAAACATCAACACTTAATAAAGGGGTTAGGTATTAGTAACACAAAGTCTGATAAATAGATACATTGTAACATCTGCTGCTTTTCAAATTGAGCCCACCACTCGCCCCGAGCGTCTTTCAATGTAGCAATTTCCGTTTGCATGCGTTTCGCCTAGTTGTTTGTGTTTCTGGTATTGTGTTACATTTCTGGATTTGGAACACGTTTGCTTTAATGTTTTGTGCTTTAACTCTCTTGTATTCTTTCCCTTGGTGGGCAGGTCACTTTCCACATTAACACAGAGGGGGAAATCCAAAAGCAAGACATCAAAATTTTTGAATTTTGTTTTGAAAACAGTCCACATGGAGATGATTAGGATCATCGTTAGTGAGACTATGACTGGACCTCATGTGCCATATCGCAACAATTTGTGCACATTAAGAGTAAAGGAAATGAGGCTTCCTGTACTGTGTTTGATGAGGTTAAGTGGTTGCCACTATCAAGTCATGTTAATGCGTAAATGTATTGATTTAGCTTTTTGGATTCAATACATGTGGTCTGGATCCCCCATTGAGATGAATCAGAGGGGGTCATAAGATGATTAAATGTGATAGGAGAAAAATTAAAAAAACATACACAACAAAAATTATATTTACTTTTTCTAATACTTCTTGTTAAATATGCAGCTTTACCTTTTCAGCCAAGTGATATCTTGATATTGGTTAATTCCGTAAACATTAAATTCATGAGGTCAACAAGCAGGCATTAACTTCTTTTTAAGGGGAATGCAGCCAAAAAAGAGTTTTGAAATTTTTCACAAGCCAAAATGAATGAATCGTTCTTTTAAACTGCACCAAACAGTTTTATAATGAACACAATCATTAACAAAAAATGAAAGCTTCACAGAACACAAATCATGGATGATCAGCAAGATCAAGGGGTTAGTCTTCCCTCAAGAAATATTGTAATTATCCATTCATTTGTATGTACCAGGCAACATTCAAAGTGCAAATTTATTGATGCCTCAAACATTTCAAATGATTTGAAATTATTTTCTGCCAGAAGGTTAGAACGTGACCCTCCTGCTCCTTCTTCAACCTTTAACCACAAAGATCGGAGACAACCTCCTCTTCCCATTTTTTTGGTTGCCTGGAAACAAGCTCCATTAAAAAAAGGCTTCTTAAACAGTCACGTTATATGGTGCTTTGAGAGACAGCGAGCTTTGTAAATTTAAAAATTATCTATCAGAGAGAAGTAATTTAGCAACAAGTGGATGAATGGAGGAGTGAGTGTGTGGGTGAGGAGAAGAAACAGAGCTTATCTCTAAAGGAGCGTTTCAAAAGCACGCAAAAAACAAGCTGGAAGTACATGTAGAAAGAAAATGTACTTTGTGGAAATGCAAATGTTATTGCTTCAGAAAAATAATTTAAAAAGAGGAACGGAGAAAAGTCTAAAGCAGAGCTTTTAAAGCAGAATTTAATTGCTTTTACTGTGTATCAAAGCCAATTTTGAACCATTAATTAAATCCAGTGGATCAATTCTTCAAGTCAAAAAACAGCTGAAGTCTTTAAAAAGAAACCAATGCTGTTTACATACTCACACTGCCTGTATGTGAGCATACTTACCATGCGCATTATGATGTGGGTCACCTCTGGTGTCAACCTGGGAAACCACATGTGCTCCAACTCGCTTGGCAAACTTCGTTCACCATTATCTGTCGCAACAAACATCTGATTGATTAATGTAATCCTGTTATGGAAAAGTGCTAGATAAAGAAAGTTCAATGATACCCGATACCTGTTCATTGGGGCCCCAATCCAGATGACACTAGCACCAGTTTAGCTTTACTTCTGTCTCTTGAGGGTGTGTTGCTTTCTTTGTCTTCTTGCCCATCTGCTGTTGAACTACATATCTTTTAGTGCCTTGGCTGCTGAACTTGAACTAGGTGTCTTGGAGGCTTCAGTGCCTTTTACACTCATCCCTGAGTGTGTGGAGCTCTGCACTGCTGAAGAGACAGAGACAACAAACACACAAGCATAAAGAGAGAGGTCATCGGACAGGACTTGATCTGAATCAGACCCAGTTATCTTTTAAAAACATACAAACACAATTTTTGATTATGTGACACATAACGCTGAACGCCATAGACCACACAAAAACAGTTGAAATTCTCAACTAAAGTCAAACCTTGCTGGGAAGCAGTGAAAAGACTACAATCCCCAGCAGAGAGTTTTCCAACATATCTCTCTGTGCAATATTTGGAGAAAACATAAATGAAAAAGTGTGAAATCATTCAGCTATGTAAAAAAAATGACACAGACTGTGATTCTCTCTGCTAAATGCACTACTGACTGTTAGAAATGCATTTAGGCTTCCGCAGAGAAACAAAATCAAAAACACTACACCAGTAGCTTTACCCATCTCTGCTAATACTGCCATGCTTTGACACGCTGGGTTGCGTGACCCTCTGCCATCGGAATACTCTCATGCTGAGCTCTCGCTCCGCATCGGGAACATCTTTCCTGCAAAAGAGACATTATATTAACCTTCATTGAACAATGAAGTAAAAGAACCAGCATGGTGTTAACTGTGGATCAACTGCCAATATGACTGCAGGGATCTCCTGAGCTGACATGCAGGATCACAAATACTGAATATATTATCTTGATCCATTTCAGATCATTGGTGTATTTGCATGTGCAGGTTGAACTTTGCCTCTTAAGTGCTGATCTTTGTCTTTTGTTCATGCTGGAGATGGGAGGAGCCTAACCAAATCCTTTAGGATGCTCTTTCTTTCAATGGATATTATAAAGAACAATATAAAACCAACCACTAGACCCAAGAAACAAAAGAGTATAGGTATTTAACAGTGAGGGATTTCAGCTGTCAAATATATCTAATCTGGTTTGGCTTTACTAATTTGAGTGTAGGGTTATTCCAGGGTACACTGTATGAGGACAGTGACGCTCTCCTGTTGTGTGGCTGCAGCACACTATAGGTGCAAGTGCTGAGTCTCAGCTTTAATTTGAAAGTGTCTGCATCCTGATGAGCATTTCATCCATTTGTACAACAGTTTCTGCAGTTTCGGTGTACAGAAAGTACTTTTTGCTTGTTTCAGGGCTTTCTGCCTTCAGTTTGGTCTTCAAGCAAGTGAAACACAGTTGGACTGAGGTCAGTGTGATTCACTGTTGGGCTATTAAAAAACAAACATCCAGGGCTGTCTTGTCTATATGTTTATGGTGATTATCTTGCTGCAATGTCCTAAAATAAGGAGACTGTGTTCCCCTACAGCTGAATACAAGCAATCTAAATTTACTGTCATTGTTTCATTTCAAATCAAATATGCCAGAGCAGAGCCAAAACAATAAAAAGCACATCATTGTCCAAATACTCTCTGAGCGACTGTAAATGTGCACTGTGCAGTATTATGTTTGAGGTCGGTGGAGCTCAATATTGACAGAAAGTCAAATTCCAGTTACTCGTGTCCTTTATCAGTGGATTACAAGCTACTTTAGACTCATGTGAAAGTATTGGAAGTCTTTTGGATTCATTTCTTCACTCAGAGACTCAAATAATACGACAACTGGCTGCGCGCCTACATTTAAATTACCTGTACCAAGGTGATAACAGCCCATTGAAAACTTGTATATACTCCAATGCCAGCTATTCTTTCCAATTTCACCACTGGGCTCATGGAATAGGTGCTTTTTAATTTAGAACTTGTATAGCCAAGTTCCTCCGTGTTTTCATATGCCGTCTCTTTCCGTTTCTTCCCTCCTATCGCCTCGAGGACAGCACTTAGAATCCTGCGAGGCAAGAGGTTTGTGGGGGTAGGTGGTGGGGTGGGGTGTGGTGAGTGGGTAGTCAAGCGGGAGGAGATAAATTACGGTGGCAACACAAGTTTCCCTCTAAGTGCTCTAAATGACAATAAAGATGCATTCAGTAAATGACTTTTTTATTCTTCCACAGCATAAGCAGATTCTGGGTTCATTAGTGAGATTATCCGCCTGTCCTCTTGAGATGCATCACCCTCTGAGAAAAGACGAGCAACCACACACACAGAGACTCGCTAACTTTTCCCCATCAGTTACAGACTGAAAGAGACCAATTACAATGCCACTTGCTCCAGTTATTATTCTCCTTAATATGGCTGTATTGAAATATAGCGCCAATTTAAAAAGTATTAACAATGTATACAACCTTCTGAGAAGAGAAATGCGACGCACTGAGGCAGATATTATTTAATTAGATTTGTTATTGACATCGAGTTTGACTTTAAGGATTGTCACACGACTTGAGGCAACATCGGGCAAGCTGATTGGTTCACTGACCTAGTGAGGAAAAAAAAAAAAAAAAAGCTTGATGAGAAGTTTTCTGTGTCTTGCAGGGTCACTGGTCCACTCACCTGCTTTTTTAATTTAGTTTGGAAACTGTCTCTGTTACTTAAAGGACGATAATTCGATGGCAGAGAGTTAACTGAGAAGATAAAATACCACTCCAATATCTGACCAATAAGTATGAAACAACAGTCAGCAGCCAGTTAGCTTAGCACAAGGACTGGAAAAAACAGGAAAACAGCTGGCCTGGCTCTGAGCAGCGGTAACAAAATGCATCTATCAGAAACCGCTTCCCAATTAACACATTTGTTTAATCCAGACAAAAACCTTAGAGCAAAAGCAACAATCTGCCGTTTTACTGAGGGTTATGTGACTATTTCGTGGCTGGGAGCAGTGTCTTCTTGAGGTTTCCGCTAGCCGTCTCCGGAAAGACATGAGAGTGTTAACAATTTCCTCATCAAACTCTAGTATTTTCCCTAAATTCTACTGAACTATTTCTTTAAAGTTACATGTACTTTGTAGCCACTGACAATTTCACAAAAGCAAAAGTGATGCCTTACGATAAGACCAGAAAGATAGTTGCAATTCGACAAATCTTACTATCATTTTCAAGTATGATATCAATCATATCATCAAAGAGATGACTACAAACTCAGGAAACGTCCTGTCTGTAGGAATGAAAAACAGTTATCACATAGAAACCGGTTTCTAACTGTCCATCCGTGAGAATCCTTCAGCTTATATATTATCAGCTGCTCTAATCATATTCCTGCATAACGCAAACAAAGACTTCATGTTGAGAGGCAAGCTTTCATGTCTTCATGTTAGACAGGAGCTAAAGAAGCATTTATTTGTAGTTTGATTGTGGTTGTAACATGACGCCTCCTGTTTAAGTTAGGCACTTTAGTTTTTCTGCAACAAAGATTAAAAGCAACAAAAGCTAAACTAAAGCACACACACCTTACTATTGTACTTTCACTTGCTGAAAAATATTGTGTGTGAATGGTTCTTTTAATTAATTAATTAACTTCTAACTATTTTCTTGTTTATGAGCAACTCAAAATGTAAACAATTCTTTCCTTCATTATATTAGTAGTACTAAAAGTCCACTATGCCATGCTTTACTTACATGTCTGCATCCTGGCCTGCATCCTGGTGAACACACGAGGGGTCTGTGGGTGTCTGGGCCGGGGGACACAAAGTAACCATCACGTTTAGGTCACCTTTGAATTCTTGCACAAAACTAATCAATTGAGTTTAACTAAAATCAAAACAATCGTAAAAAAAAAAAGGTAAAATGTAAGTAAAAATCGAATATTCTTTGCTTTATGTTAAATTCAAACAATGGGTAAACATCATGTTAAATTCCACTAATGTCACATTATATTTCAGTCTTGCAGCATTAAAAAAATGGTCTGCAACTAGTGATTATTTCCATTATCAACTCATCTGCATATCATTTTCTCAATTCGTCGATAAATTGTTTTGGTACAATAATTGCTTTTAATTATTCACATTTTAGAGGCTGGAAACAGTGAATAATTTGCTGTTTTTGCTTAAGTAATATAATAAAATAATCATCAGCTAATCTTGTCGACTAATCATTTCTAAGAAAATCCTACACTTGTTATCTGTTTACCCGTGGTTTTGATGCTTTGATTTGTTTCTGTGGGGACTTCTTTTGCAGGACTGCGTTCTTTCTCCTGAAGCACCTCTGACACCAGAGCCATCAATTTCTCCAGCCTCACCAGCTCCTTCTGCATTTCTATCTTTTGCTTACAGAGGAGAAAACAAAGTAAAAGTAGAAAACACTCATAATTACAAATGAGTCATGCACTTTAATAAAATACAGGGGTGGTGGGGTAAGCAAGAAGAAATGCTGCAATGCAACATTAAACATTTACTATACAAAATAAAGGGACACATACTGGCTGCACATCTGATGTCTTGCACTGATGTATGAATACAATAACAAACCGTCAATCAGCGAGGAGGGACCTACATTCAACCAGTTATTCATTATTGGAAGGGAGTGGGTGCTTTTTCGGCCAGAACAGCACAGAGAGCGAGAAGATAATTATATACCATACATAATATTTAAGATATTAGAGGGAAATCAGAAAGCACAAGAAGAGAAGTGACAACAGCTTCTGCTCAGCTGAGGCTGGTTTGGAAGAATAGAGTCTATGAATTTGTATGAGTTTACAGCGCAAGTGCACTGATTATGTATACAGACACACAGCACAATAATAACCAACACTCTGTATTCTCAGATGTGTGTAATCCTGCTCCCTTTTCTAAACCCCAGGGCGGTGAAACTTTAACTCCCAGTCAAATACAGTCGACAGATAAAAGTGAGAGCGCTGGAAGATGGATGAGGTAGAAAACAAGAATCATCTCCGAGGCGGCTTTCCTCTAACGTAAATGGAAATGCAATTTAGAAAGCTGCTGAGGGGGCCATTTTTTTACAGAGCTAGGTAGTCTGTCATCCAGGAGCTGACAGTTTCTGCTTTAGGAAAATGTGGTGGCTGCCCTCTATGGGGCGTAACGTGACAGTGCATCACTGGGAGCACAATGCAAATGCAGAACGCTGAACAAGCAAATGGAAAAGTCAGAATTTTGTTTTGAATTAATGGAAAAATCTCATTTTTCTTCAGCACTTGCTAAAAACCTTAAATGTGGTGTTATTTTTCAAATCAGAGGATGCATTTGTGCAGCTTGCACTTACAACCAGAGAAAGTAATTGAGAGCATACCTGGTGTGACAAAGAGACTTTCGCTTGAAAATTGTGATGATTCCATGGAAAACACTGGCGTCATTAACTGGGACATCACCTGCAGAAAAAAAATATTGAACTGCTCTGTGTCTGAACATTTGAGAGATTTTGTTTTTTTTCCTCACATCCCAAAAGATACAAAAGATTCTTACTGTGGGAAAAGAAGCATGCACATATTTGGAAAGATTGTTAACAAAAGAAAAGATTTATTGTAATGCAGGCTGCTTCCTTTGAACAAAACCTAAAATTGAAGAAAAAATATCTCTCTACTTACATTCATCTGGTTTTCCAAACAAGTCCACAGAAGCTTGGCTAGAATTAACAAAAGTCGGGCTGGGCATGCAGGTGGACGGCTGAAACGTTCTTCTGCTCAGCTGGAAACACATGCATCCTCACATCTATTAGCTTCATTGGAAAATCTCCCTGATCCTGGGTTCACAGCAGCCGGAGGAGCTGACCTACAAGATTTGAGCCAAAAGTTGGTAATTCCTCTTTGGATCCACTGCAGTCGGACTCGGATGAAGCTACCCAGCCTCTGAGCCGGTTCTTATTCCTTGGGTAGCTCTTGATGGAGGAAATGTGCGCTGAGCTCTGCGCTTCCATTGCTGTTAGGCTTCGTTTCGTGGACCATTGGAACAAACTGGTGTTACAAGGCCGTCAGGAGTTAAAGAGGACTCTGCAAAACCAAGAATGTGTTCAGCAGTGTTGAATGAATGTTTTCCACTAGAAATGCCATCTCCTATCTCCTTCCATTTGTCAGCAATCCCTCACTGTACAATCAAGCTGATCGTTTGAGATTGAGAGACTTTGAGGCTTCATGTAGCTCCTCATGTTCAACAGCTGTGAAGCAGAGCCCAGAATCTACCCAAATTGAGGGACAACTGGAAAGATGAGGACTTTCCATTTCAACGTTTTGACACTTTATTAGGACTGAGGGCACTGCTAAGACTATTCCTGGAGAGACAGTTTCTCAGCAGCGCTGTCCTGACCTGAACTATTGGTATCAGGATCGAGGCTTGTACCACCACTTGATTTGTTCTCAACAACTGTTTTTCTTGCCAGGGTGGGTGAGTTAGACGGGAGATCAAATCAATACAAAGATGAGTCTTCATTGTCTTTCAAAGCCTCCTGGTTTGGCGAATTTCAGATGTCTCTTTTTTTGCAGATTCAAAAACTAGAACAAACAGGACCATTATCCTTTGCTTTCAGCACCCTGCGTTTCTCTCCCCGAGCTACGGCTTCTTTCATGTCTGGGACCCACCAAGATGGAACGATTCCTTTTAGTGGCCTTTGAAGCTCCTCAGCAGTTGCTCTCTGTGTCCAGCTCACGCTCACTGTTCGTTCTTGTCCTCCTCACTCTTTCCTGTTATATGCGCATTTAGTCTCGCAAAGCAGACGTTTCCAGCTGAATACTTTGGGAAAGTCATTCTTCGGATATGTCACTTTCAAGTATCTCTGACTCACTACAGCTGCCTCAAGTTGGACTAATGTGAGATGAACTTGGTACCACAGCCGTGACATAAACCAAGAACAAAGCACTGGCTTCAGACAGAAAGTGTCAAGGCATTCGCACAAAAATCAGCACCATGAGGTCTTTAACATCTTTCGTTTTTGGTCCCCCCCCCCCCCCCCCCCCCCGCCCCCCTTCCCCCCCACTGATAAACGTATCTCTCAACCAAGACTCCACGTTTTCAATCTCCTCCTAAATCTTGATCATAAATACATCCATTTCTTTTTGGCCACCTTTGTCATGTTTCCATTCTCAGGTATGCAGTTTTATTCCAGTGTTTTCACCTTTAAACTCTCCTCTGATTCCTTTGCAGCATTGCTTGTTTTGTTCAGCTACACTGATTTGTGCAAAGTTTGTTCTCCCTCCGCACCTCCTCTATCTCCTCTCCACCAGCAAAGAGTTGAAATGTCTGCTTCTCCTGTGCTCCTCATGAGAAGCGGCTTTCCTGGTCTCGGCATAGCGGTAGGATACTCTCTCAATTTGTACTTGAACTTCTTTCCTGATCTCCAAGTCTGGTCTTTGGACTCGTTTCTCCATTTTGAACTGAACCAGAAAAAGAGGCTTTCGGCAGTCTTAGCAGGCCTGCCTTTCTCTGGAACCTTGTGTTTTTACCTTTCTCCTTGTCAGTTTTTTTTGCGCTTCAAGTACTTCTGACTTTGCCTCAAAAATAATAACTGCAAATCTCACTGTCAACCTGCTGAGAGTAAGTCGTAAGCTCATTCTCTTTGACTTTCTTTCCGGTTGCTGTTGTTCAATATCGAGAACTATCGAAGAAAGCCTACATACTGTTCGCCTTTAATTTGTTTTGTCACTTTCTGAACGCCAAGTGTTCAACTCTTCCCCAATGGATTCTAGCTGCATAAATACACTTTTCCTCCACTGACTTCCATCTGTTCTGCATCTCCTAAACATAAGATAAAGTCCACTAGCTTGTCATCTAAAACTTTCTTCTGTTAGTTTGTTCGGTCTTCCTCCCCAAAGTTCGCTTATCATTTATCCTTCAAAGCCCTGTTTTCTGTTCAGGTTGGATCTGCTCGACAAACGAGGCATTGAGCGGAAGAGAGGTGTTCCTGCACCCTCTTCTCTCCTCCGTTGTAGACAGCTTCAGATACACCTGCCTCATCTCAAGGGCTTTAGCACGATCATCTCTCTTAGGATTCATGTTAACTAATGTGTTCGCTTGAATCCTAAGAGAGATGATCGTGCTAAAGCCCTTGAAGAAGCAGGTGTTCGGAGCTGGTCTACAAACACGAGGAGAAGAGGGTGCAGGGAACACCTTCTCTTCCGCTCAATGCTTTGTCAAGAAGGCGATCAACAACTAGAAAAAACAAGAAAAACAGGCTCTGAAGAATTTAAAAATGTAAAGGCGACTTGAGGAAGAGCAACAACTAACAGAAGAAGTTAATGACACCAGCAGTGACATTTTAAGAAGCAGAACAGATGGGAATCGTGGAGGACAAATGAAATATTAGACAAAAACATGGGGAAGAGTTTGAACACTTGCCATGGCGTGACAAAAAATAAAGGGCAAGATGCAGGGTTCCTCTGTGTCTTGATATCGACAACAAGCCAAACTCGGAAAGAAAGTCCAAAGAAAAGGCTGCACGATTACAACATAGCGGCAGTTGACAGTGATTTTGCAGCAGCAAGCTGCAGGCAAAGTCAGAAAGTACTGAGCAAAAAGAAAACTTGACAAGAGAAAAAAGTAAATAACACGAAGGTCAGAGAAAGGCAAGGCCTGCTAGACTTGCCGAAGCCTCTTTTTCTGGTTCAGTTCAAATGGAAAGAAACCAGTCCAAAGACCAGACTGGAGATCAGAAAAGAAAGTTCAAGAGTACAAATTGAGAGCTATCCTAGCAGCGAGGACCGGAACCCCTCTCATGAAGGAGCACCAGGAGAAGCAGAAGGCTCAACTCTTTGCTTGAGGAAGTCCAGGGAGGTCAACGGAAAAGCAAACTTGAAAATCAGTGTTAGCCTTGGAAAAAAAACACAGCAAATGCTTGCAAAAGGAATAGAGGAAGTAAAGGTGAAACCAACATGATAAAACTGGCATCAACCCTTGAGAATGGAAACATGAACAAAGCTGGCCAAAGGAAATGGACACTGTATTTAATGATCAAGATTTAGGAGCGAATTGAAAACGTGGAGTCTGGTGAGAGAACGTCTTATCTTGACCAACCAAACGAAGATGTTTTAAAAGAGCCCATTGCTTGATAAAAGTGTCCGAATGCTGACACTCTGTCTGAAGCCAGTGCTGCTTGTTAATGTCCCTGTGGCTACCAAGTTCTACAAGTCCAACTGAGGCAGCTTGTAGTGGCTCCAACACTTGAAAGTGACAATCCGAAGAATGAACTTCCCAAAAGGTATTTCAGGCTGGAAAACGTTCTGCTTGCGAGACTTTAAATGCGCTATAACAGAAAAATGAGGAGGACAGGAACGGACAAGTGGCTGGACACAGAGCAACTGCTCAAGGAGCGCTTTCAAAAGCCACTAAAAAGGGAAATCGTTCCATCTTGGTGGTCCCCAAAACATAAAAGAAGCCGTAGCTCAGACCAAGGAGAAACGCAGGTGCTGAAAGCAAAGATAATGGTCCTGTTTTGTTCTTAGTTTTGAATCTGCCAAAAAAAGAGACATCTGAAGATCGCCAACCAGGAGGCTTTGAAAGACAATGAAGAACTCATCTTGTAAGTGATTTGATCTCCCCGTCTAACCTCACCCACCCTGGCAAGAAAAAACAGTTGTTGAGAAACAAAATCAAGTGGTTGGTACAAGCTCTGAATTCCCTTTGATACCAATAGTTCAGGTCAGGACAGCCGCTGCTGGGGAAACTGTCTCTCCAGGAATAGTCTTAGGCAGTGCCCTAGTCCTAATAAAGTGTCAAAAAACCGTGAAATGGAAAGTCCTCATCTTTCAGTTGGTCCCTCAATTGGTAGATTCTGGGCTCTGCTTCACAGCTGGTTGAACTATGAGGGAAGCTACATGAAGCCTCAAAGTGCTCTCAAATCTCAAACAGTCAGGCCTTGATTAGTACAGTGAGTGGATGACTGACAAATGGAAGGAGATAGGAGATGGCATTTCTAGTGGAAAAACATTCATTCAACACTGCTGGAACCACATCTTGGTTGCAGAAGTCCTTCTTTAACTCCTGACGAGTCCTTGTAACACCAGTTGTCCAAATGGGTCACGAAAAACGAAGCCTAAACAGCAATGGAGCCGCAAGAGCTCAGCGCACATTCCTTCCATTCAAGAGCTACCCAAGGAATAAAAGAGAACGTTCAAGAGCTGGAGTCTTCATCCGAGTCCGACTGCAGGTGGAATCCAAAAGAGGAATTTTAACCAACTTTGGCTCAAATCTTCGGAAGGTCAGCTCCTCGGCTGCTGTAGACCAGGATCAGGGAGATTCCAATTGAAGCTAATATGTTGCAGGATGGCATGTGTTCCAGCTGATGCAGAAGAACGCTTCAGCGTCACACTGCATGCCCCAGCCCCGACTTTGTTTAATTCTAGCCAAGCTTTCTGTGGACTTGTTTGGAACACCAGATGAATGTAAGTAGAGGAGATATTTTTTCTTCAGATGGTTGAGGTTGTTCAAAAGGAAGCAGCCTGCAATACAATAAATCTTTTCTTTTGTTAACAATATCTACCAAATATGTGCATGTCTTTTCCCACAGTAAGAAATCTTTGTATCTTTGGGATGTGAGTGAAAAAACAAAATTCTCAAATTGTTCAGACACAGAAGCAGTTCAATTATTTTCTTTTCTGCAAGGTGATGTCCCAGTAAATTGACGCCAGTGTTTCCATGGAACTCTCTACTCTCTCTCCTCTCTCACCAGGTAATGCTTCTCAATTACTTTCTCTTGGTTGTAAGTGCAATGCTGCAAAATGCATCCTCTCTGATTTGAAAATATACACCACCACATTTTATATATTATAACAGTGCTGAAGAATTACACAGTTGAGATTTCCATTAATTCAAAACCAAAATTTCTGACTCTGTCCATTTTGCTTGTTCAGGGCGTTCTGGCATTTTGCATTGTGCTCCCAGTGATGCACTGTCACGTTACGCCCCATAGGAGGGCAGCCACCAACATTTTTCCTAAAGCAGAAAACTGTCAGCTCCTGGATGACAGACTACCTAGCTCTGTAAAAAATGCCCCTTCAGCAGCTTTCTTAAATTGCATTTTCATTTACTGTTAGAGGGAAATGGCCGCCCCCTGGAGATGATTCTTGTTTTCTACCTCATCCATCTTCCAGCGCTCATCACTTTTATCTGTCGACTGTATTTGACTTGGGAGTTAAATTTCACGCCCTGGGGTTTTAGAGGCGAAGCACGATTACAACACATCTGAAGAATACAGGTGTTGGTTATTATTGTGCTGTGTCTCTGTATACATTAATCAGTGCACTCGCTGTACAAACTCATACAAATTCATAGACTCTATTTCTTCCAAAACCAGCTCCAGCTGAGCAGAAAGCTGTTGTCACCTTTTCTCTCTTGTGCTTTCTGATTTCCCTCTAAATATCTTAAATATTATGTATGGTATAATAATTAATCTTCTCGCTCTCTGCTGCTGGTCTGGCCGAAAAAGCACCCACTCCCTTTCAATAATGAATAACTGGTTGAATGTAAGTCCCTCCTCGCTGATTTTGACGGTTTTATTGTAATTCATACATCAGTGCAAGACATCAGATGTGCAGCCAGTAGTGTCCCTTTATTTTGTATAGTAAAATGTTGTAATGTTGGCATTGCAAGCATTTCTTCTCTGCTTACCCCCACCACCCCTGTATTTTTATTAAAGTGCATGACTCATTTGTAATTATTGAGCTGTTCTACTTTACTTGTTTCTCCTCTGTAAGCAAAAGATAGGAAAATGCAGAAGGAGCTGGTGAGTCTGGAGAGAAATGATGGCTCTGGTGACTTGTCAGAGGTGCTTCAGGAGAAAAGACACGCAGTCCTGCAAAAGAAGTTCCCCACAGAAAACAAATCAAACATTCAAAACCACGGGAAACAGATAACAAGTGTTAGGATTTTTCTTAGAAATGATAGTCGACAGATTAGCTGATGATTATTTTATTATATTTACTTAAGGCAAAACACAAATATTCATCTGTTTCCAGCCTCTAAAATGTGAATAAATAAAAGCAATTATTTGTACAAAACAATTTATCGACGAATTGAGAAAATGATATGCAGATGAGTTATAATGGAAATAATCACTAGTTCTTGCAGACCATTTTGTTAATGCTGCCAAGACTGAAATATAATGTGACATTAGTGGAATTCATAACCCATGACTGTTTACCCATTGTTTTGAATTTAAATAAAGCAAAGATATTCGATTTTTACTTACATTTTACCTTTTTTTTTTTAACGATTTGTTTATGATTTTAAGTTAAACTCATTGATTTTAGTTTTGCTGCAAGAAATTCAAAAAGGTGACCTAACGTGATTGGTTACTTTTGTGTCCCCCGGCCCAGACACCCACAAGACCCCTGTGGCCTCACCAGGATGGCAGGCCCAGGTCAGACATGTTAAGTAAACAGCATGGCATACGTGGACTTTTAGTACTACTAATATAATGAAAGGAAAGAATTGTTAACATTTTGAGTTGCTCATAAAACAAGAAATTAGTTAGAAGTTAAATTAATTAATTAAAAGAACCAATCTCATCAACACAATTATTTTTTCAGCAAGTGAAAGTAACAAATAGTTAAGTGTGTGTGCTTTTTAGGTTTAGCATTGTTGCCCTTAATCTCTGTTGCAAGAAAAACTAAAGTGCCTAACTTTAAAAACAGAAAACCCTCTCTCTACAAACCACAATCAAATACAAAATAAATGCTTCTTTAGCTCCTGTCTAACATGAAGACCATGAAAGCTTGCCTCCTCAAACAATGAGTCTTTGTTTGCGGTATAGCAGGAATGATTAGAGCGCTAATTTTAATAATCAACAGCTGCAAGGATTCTCAGGAACTGTACAGTTAGAAAAAAAACCGGTTCTATGTGATAAAACTGTTTTCATTTTCCTAAACAGGACAGGAACGTTCCTGAGGTTGTAGTCATCTCTTTGATGATATTGATGATATCAATACTTGAAAAATGATAGTAAGATTTTGTTCGAATTGCAACTATCTTTCTGTTCTTATCGTAGGCATCACTTTTTTGCTTTTGTGAAAATTGTCATGGCTAACAAATACAATGTAACTTTTAAAGAAATAGTTCAGTAGAATTTTAGGGAAAAATACTAGAGTTTTGATGAGAAAAATTGTTAACACTCGCATGTCTTTCCGGAGACGGCTTAGCGGAAAACCTCAAGAAGACACTGCTCCCAGCCACGAAAATAGTCACATACCCTCAGTAAAACCGGCAGATTTGTTGCTTTGCTCTAAGGTTTTTTGTCTGGATTAAACAAATGTGTAATTGGGAAGCGGTTCTGATAGATGCATTTTTGTTTACCCCTGCTTCAGAGCCAAGGCCAGCTGTTTTCCTGTTTTTTCCAGTCCTTGTGCTAAGCTAACTGGTTGCTTGACTGTTGTTGTTCATACTTATTGGCAGATATTTGGAGGGGTTTTATCTTCTCAGTTAAACTCTCTGCCATCGAATTATCGTCCTTTAAGTAAACAGAGACCAGTTTCCAAACTAAAATTAAAAAAGCAGGGTGAGTGGACCAGTGGACCCTGCAAGACACAGAAAAACTTTCTCAGTCAAGCATGAAGGTTTTTTTTTTTTTTTTCCTCACTAGGTCAGTGAACCAATCAGCTTGCCCGATGTTGGCCTCAAGTCGTGTGACAATCCTTAAAGTCAAACTCGATGTCAATAACAAATCTAATTAAATAATATCTGCCTCAGTGCGTCGCATTTCTCTTCTCAGAAGGTTGTATACATTGTTAATACTTTTTAAATGGCGCTATATTTCAATACAGCCATATTAAGGAGAATAATAACTGGAGCAAGTGGCATGTAATTGGTCTCTTTCAGTCTGTAACTGATGGGGAAAGTTAGCGAGTCTCTGTGTGTGTGTTGCTCGTCTTGTTCTCAGAGGGTGATGCATCTCAAGAGGACAGGCGGATAATCTCACTAATGAACCCAGAATCTGCTTATGCTGTGGAGAATAAAAAAGTCATTACTGACTGCATCTTATATGTCATTTAGAGCACTTAGAGGGAAACTTGTGTTGCCACCGTAATTTATCTCTCCCGCTTGACTACCCCACTACCCCCACCCACCTACCCCCACAACCTCTTGCCTCGCAGGATTCTAAGTGCTGTCCTCGAGGCGATAGAGAGGGAGAAACGGAAAGAGACGGCATATGAAAACACGGAGGAACTTGGCTATACAAGTTCTAAATTAAAAAGCACCTATTCCATGAGCCCAGTGGTGAAATTGGAAAGAATAGCTGGCATTGGAGTATATGACAAGTTTTCAATGGGCTGTTATCACCTTGGTACAGGTAATTTAAATGTAGGCGCGCAGCCAGTTGTCGGTATTATTTGAGTCTCTGAGTGAAGAAATGAATCCAAAAGACTTCCAATACTTTCACATGAGTCATAAAGTAGCTTGTAATCCACTGATAAAGGACACGAGTAACTGGATATTGACTTTCTGTCAATATTGAGCTCCACCGACCTCAAACATAATACTGCACAGTGCACATTTACAGTGCAGTCAGAGAGTATTTGGACAATGATGTGCTTTTTATTGTTTTGGCTCTGCTCTGGCATATTTGATTTGAAATGAAACAATGACAGTAAATTTAGATTGCTGTTATTCAGCTGTAGGGGAACACAGTCTCCTTATTTTAGGACATTGCAGCAAGATAATCACCATAAACATATAGACAAGACAGCCCTGGATGTTTGTTTTTTAATAGCCCAACAGTGAATCACACTGACCTCAGTCCAACTGTGTTTCACTTGCTGAAGACCAAACTGAAGGCAGAAAGCCCCTGAAACAAGCAAAAAGTACTTTCTGTACACCGAAACTGCAGAAACTGTGTACAAATGGATGAAATGCTCATCAGGATGCAGACACCTTCAAATTAAAGCTGAGACTCAGCACTTGCACCATAGTGTGCTGCAGCCAACACAACAGGAGAGCGTCACTGTCCTCATACAGTGTACCCTGGAATAACCCTACACTCAAATTAGTAAAGCCAAACCAGATTAGATATATTTGACAGCTGAATCCCTCACTGTTAAATACCTATACTCTTTTGTTTCTTGGGTCTAGTGGTGGTTTATATTGTTCTTTATAATATCCATTGAAAGAAGAGCATCCTAACAGGATTTGGTTAGGCTCCCTCCATCTCCAGCATGAACAAAAGACAAAGATCAGCACTTAAGAGCAAAGGTCAACCTGCACATGCAAATACACCAATGATCTGAAATGGATCAAGATAATATATTCAGTATTGTGATCCTGCATGTCAGCTCAGGAGATCCCTGCAGTCATATTGGCAGTTGGATCCACAGTTAACACCATGCTGGTTCTTTTACTTCATTGTTCAATGAAGGTTAATATAATGTCTCTTTTGCAGGAAAGATGTTCCCAATGCGGAGCGAGAGCTCAGCATGAGAGTATCCGATGGCAGAGGGGTCACGCAACCCAGCGTGTCAAAGCATGGCAGTATTACAGAGATGGGTAAAGCTACTGGTGTAGTGTTTTGATTTTGTTTCTCTGCGGAAGCCTAAATGCATTTCTAACAGTCAGTAGTGCATTAGCAGAGAGAATCACAGTCTGTGTCATTTTTTTCATAGCTGAATGATTTCACACTTTTTCATTATGTTTCTCCAAATATGCACAGAGAGATATGTATGGAAAACTCTCTGCTGGGGATTGTAGCTTTTCACTGCTTCCCAGCAAGGTTTGACTTAGTTGAGAATTTCAACTGTTTTGTGTGGTCTATGGCGTTCAGCGTTATGTGTCACATAATCAAAAATTGTGTTTGTATGTTTTTAAAGATAACTGGGTCTGATCAGATCAAGTCCTGTCGATGACTCTCTCTTTATGCTTGTGTGTTTGTTGTCTCTGTCTCTTCAGCAGTGCAGAGCTCCACACACTCAGGGATGAGTGTAAAAGGCACTGAAGCCTCCAAGACACCTAGTTCAAGTTCAGCAGCCAAGGCACTAAAGATATGTAGTTCAACAGCAGATGGGCAAGAAGACAAAGAAAGCAACACACCCTCAAGAGACAGAAGTAAAGCTAAACTGGTGCTAGTGTCATCTGGATTGGGGCCCAATGAACAGGTATCGGGTATCAATGAATTTCTTTATCTAGCACTTTCCATAACAGGATACATTAATCAATCAGATGTTGTTGCTGACAGATAATGGTGAAGAAGTTTGCCAAGCGAGTTGGAGCACATGTGGTTTCCCAGGTGACACCAGAGGTGACCCACATCATAATGCGCACTGGTAAGTATGCTCACATACAGGCAGTGTGAGTATGTAACAGCATTGTTCTTTTAAAGACTTCAGCTGTTTTTGACTTGAAGAATTGATCCACTGGACTTTAATTAATGGTTCAAAATTGGCTTGATACACAGTAAAGCAATTAAATCTGCTTTTAAAGCTCTGCTTTAGATCTTTCTCGTTCCTCTTTTTAAATATTTTCTGAAGCAATAACATTTGCATTTCCACAAGTACATTTTCTTTCTACATGTACTTCCAGCTTGTTTTGTGCGTCTTTTGAAACGCTCCTTAGAGATAAGCTCTGTTTCTCTCTCACCCACACACTCACTCCTCCATTCATCCACTTGTTGCTAATTACTCTCTCTGATAGATTATTTTTAATTTCAAAGCTCGCTGTCTCCAAAGCACCTTATTAACTGTCACTGTTTAAGAAGCCTTTTTTAATGGCAGCTTGTTTCCCAGGCAACCAAAAAATGGGAAGAGGAGGTGTCTCGATCTTTGTGGTTAAAGGTTGAAGAAGGAGCAGGAGGTGTCACGTTCTAACCTTCTGCAGAAAATAATTTCAAATCATTTGAAATGTTTGAGGCATCAATAATTTGCACTTGAATGTTGCCTGGAATACAAATGAATGGATAATTACAATATTTCTTGAGGGAAGACTAACCCCTTGATCTTGCTGATCATCCATGATTTGTGTCTGTGAAGCTTTTCATTTTTTTTATGATGTGTTCATTATAAAACTGTTTGGTGCAGTTTAAAAGAACGATTCATTCATTTTGGCTTGTGAAAATTCAAACTCTTTTTGGCTGCATCCCCTTAAAAAGAAGTAATGCCTGCTTGTGACCTCATGAATTTAATGTTACGGGTTCAATACCATATCAAGATATCACTTGGCTGAAAAGGTAAAGCTGCAGTATTTAACAAGAAGTATTAGAAAAAAGTAAATATAATTTTGTGTGTATGTTTTTAATTTTCTCCTATCCCATTAATCATCTTATGACCCCCTCTGATTCATCTCATGGGGGATCCAGACCACATGTATGAATCCAAAAGCTAATCAATACATTACGCATTAACATGACTTGATAGTGGCAACCACTTAACCTCATCATACACAGTACAGGAAGCCTCATTTCCTTTACTCTTAATGTGCCACAAATGTTGCGATATGGCACATGAGGTCCAGTCATAGTCTCAACTAACGATGATCCTAATCATCCTCATGTGAGCTGTTTTCAAACAAAATTCAAAAATTTTGAATGTCTTGCTTTGATTTCCCCCTCTGTGTTAATGTGGAAGTGACCTGCCCACCAAGGGCAAAGCACATACAAGAGAGTAAGCACAAACATTAAAGCAAACGTGTTCCAAATCCAGAAATGTAACAAATACCAGAACACAAACAACTAGGCGAAACGCATGCAAACGGAATTGCTACATTGAAAGACGCTCGGGCGAGTGGTGGGCTCAATTTGGAAAAGCAGCAGATGTTACAATGTATCTATTATCAGACTTTGTGTTACTAACCTAACCCTTTATTAAGTGTTGATGTTTTGTTTTTTTTTCAGGCGAGAAAGTTTCCATTTAGATTTCGAATATGTGCTCAGTTTATCCAAATAATGTCTTGTTGTCTTGTCTCTGCCAGATGAACAGCTGGTATGTGAGCGCACACTGAAGTACTTCCTTGGCATTGCAGGAAGGAAGTGGGTGGTGAGCTTCCAGTGTAAGTCCTGACTCACTTTATTGTCGAGCTCTTTCACTGATGAGTTAAAAACAATTAGTCTAAACACAAAACAGCATGATGACGGAGGGATCGGCTAGAATAAATGGAGCGATACATAATACAGTAGCCACCAGAATAGTGTTTGTGCGCCTGACAATACGCTCATAAGTTTTTGTTCTTACTTCCTCTCCGCAGGGATTTCAGAGTGCTTCAAACAAAAGAAACTCTTAGATGAGGTATGCTCGCCTGTGTGCGCCTTGAATTTGCGCGCCGGTGATTTCCTGTTACATCTCTGTATGTCTTGATGCTGAATTAATGCTGCATGATGAATCTCTCCATGAGGTTCATTGTGATACCTCATAAATTATTTGTCATCCATTTGCTTTAGCAATCCCTGCATCCGCTTCTTTGCTATGCAAGTATAATCTATTGCCAAGCTTAGTTTAGTACCGCCATTAATTTAAAACTATTTCCCTGTCGGCCAGGCAAACTTTTACCATTTTTATGCATCATATGGTGTTTGTAAAAATGGACCCCATGCAATTATAAGATGAATACTGTCAAACTGAAGAATGTCCAGTGTTGTTGTTGTTGGAGCGTATTTTACTTTTAGAATAAATGAAATGAATATGAACTATCCGACATCTTACAATCAGTCCTTGTGTCAAATGAGAGTAAATAATTGCTCCACTTATTTTAAAGGTCATAGTTGTTCTAACATTGTGATTGAGATTCATTGCCTGATTCATTTTCTTTTGTTGTCCAACAGAGTCTCTATGAAGTGAAAGGTGACGTGGTGAATGGACCCAACCACCAGGGCCCCTCAAGAGCGCGTACCACTGAAGACAATAATGTGAGTCCTTCAGTCCTTTATTGATCTAACTGACTCAAAGGTGAAAACTAAAGTCAGGGATCTTATCTTATCCAGAGGAATTTGGCAGTAGCATCGTATGACTCTTGTCTTTCTCCTGTGGCTAAAATGTTTTATTTCTAATTTTTAACTTAAAAAAAAGAAAGAAATTGTAACTCATATCACAATCGCAATATCTGCAAAAATAATCGCAGTATGATTGAAAAAATGTGTGTGGTTTAGTGCTTCCCCAGACTACAAGAAAACATTCTTATTTTTAGAAATAAAAACAATTACAATCAAGCTAACGTTACATACATTTATCTTTAATTTAAATTTTTTATCTTCATAAACCTTTTGTCAGGGACCTAGCACAATCACATTAATCTCAAGCAGTTATCTCTGCATTGTTACAGATTTAGCTTCTAGCTCCTTACCATCTGCAGGCCCTCCCTGGGGAGGATGAAACAACTGCCAATCAAGTGAACTTGTAACAGTGTCTGTTCCAGTTCAATCCCTCATGTGGCTTGACCACAACAAGTCAGGTCAAAGTTGTGGGATACCATTCCCTGGCTAGGTTAATCTGAAGAAATGGCTGAGGCTTCAGCTAAGAAGCAGCAGAAACATAATTTGTTAAGACCAGACTAGAATAACGAAGCTGTTTTGTGTATGACTAACCCATACCATTAGAAAATATTGAAATATTAACGTAACTACAGAAACATTTGTCATGTAGGCATGTGAATATCTGGACTTATTAGAAACGGACATTAAAAAGTGCAGTTTAATGATATTTTTGTGCATTTTGCCTTTATTAGACAGCACAAGAGAGAGAGAGGAAGTATATAGAGAGTGAGAGGAATGACTTGCACCAGTCGAACTCAGACAACCACTGGACAACAAGGTCACTGCCATTAAAAAGTAATTTAACAGTTGGTAAAGCCAAATGAAAACTGTAATTACAGTACCAAGTGAAGGGGCATTTCTCTCAACATATAAAAACATAGCTATTATAGCTAATATAGCTATTTGCTCTCTGTTTCATTGACTGACATTGTTTTCTGACATTATTTTTCAATTTTCTTAACACCAGTTGATTCTTAACACAAACATCTTGTAGGAAGTGACAAAAATTAATAAGGAAGGAAGGGAGGAGGGGAATGAGGGAGGAAGGCAGGAAGGAACAAAGGAAGTTACTAAGGATATAAGGAAGAAAGGAAGGAAGTAATTGTGGAAGGAAGCAAGGACATGAGTAAAGATGGATGTAAAGAAGGAAGGACGCAATTAAGTAAGGAAGGAAGAATAGAAAAAAGGAAGGAGGTATGGAAGGGAGGAAGTAAAGAGGGAAGGAGGTAGATAAGAAAGGCATTATGAATGTGAAAAAGTATATAAAGAAAGATGAAAGAAATTGAAGAAAGGAAGAAAGAAGTATGGCATAAGGAAGGTAAGGAAAGAAGGAAGTAGGGAAGGAAGAAATAAGCAAATATGGAAGTAAGGAAGGGAGTAGATAAGAAAGGAAGGAGCTAAGGTAGTAAATTTGAATAAGGAAGGTCTTGAACCTCTTTCCTGCTCTTGCACCAGCCTCTTAGCTCAGACCTTGTTGTAGAAAGCTTATCGTAATTTTCCCCCTGGTGTGTGGCCAGCAGGACTGGTTCTGTTGCCACTGAGGGGGAAAATTAGAAATGGCTAGATGTCATGTTGGCCGTATCGCTGCCTTTGAAGAACCTCCACTAATTGAATTAGCTAGTAATTTCAGGCTTATTTAAGTGGCCTCAACACAGCATCGGCACTTTGATGAAGCCAGACAGATTGTCCCGTTCATATTCACTTTCTGTCACCTGCACCGGTGACAAACAGACTTACAGATGAAATGGACAGGGAGTCTGTCACCTGAATGTTGATGTTTAGGAAATCAGTCAGAAATTCTCTCTCTCTCTCTCTCTCTCTCTCTCTCTCTCTCTCTCTCTCTCTCTCTATAGATATATATATATACATATACATATACATATACATATATGTATGTGTGTGTGTTTGTAGGGTTTGGACGTTATCACATCACACACTCTAATACCTCCTGAAGGACATTAGCTGTTGTCTAAATTAAAAATCTGTAACCGAAACCCTTTTTCATCTCACCGAGCACCTCTGGCTAATGATGGCTATGGACGGACAGGGAGGTGTGAGAAATTAGTATTTCTCTCTCCGGCAGCTCGGACATTTATCTTCCAAAACACTAACATCCAATCACACGCTGTATATGAAACTGTGATGTAAGTTGCACATTGCCTTTTTGCAGTTACCATGGTTCAAGGAAACAATTTTACATTCCCATCTAAAGAAAGCTTATTGACCCTCGGTGCAATAAAACAATGTGTCCCCGGTGTCAGACAGGTCGTTTTTCTTTGCGTGCTTAAAGCGTGATATTACCTCGGTGAAAGCGGCTCTGTTTGCTCTGTTCTGTTCGACTTATTCCTGAATTTACGGTATTACAGTGAGAGCGAGGAATTAACAAGGTCCTGAGGTTTTATTTTACTCAGTAAGTGAGGTATACCTGTTATAAATTGGGAGTTACGCTTGGTGAAGTGTTTCAGCTCTACCGGTGTAAGCCTTCAGACAGGTGAAACGTTCAGAAATACACTCAGCCTTAATGGTAGAAGCTATAATGGCCATTCTCAAATAGTGCCACTGAACGTTGTCCAAAGGTTAAATTCACCGAATAACTGGTCTCTCTTGCTTTACTGTAGAGTTTTTGCAGGTAGTTTGGCAGAAATCTGATAATCTGTAGATTATTTTATCCTTACTCTTCTTTTTCTCTTTAGCTGCTCTTGAAGGGCTTCAAGATCTGCTTCCAGGGGCCTTTTACAGACATGACTACAGGTAAATCACATCAACAATGTGACATTTCCAACTCAAAACCTGATGTTTTCAATCTGGAAAAAAATGTTTGACCAAGGAAATTAATTTGACCCTGTTTGAAAGAGTGAAACAAGGACAGTGTCTGTAGATGTTCACCATCTCTCTTTAGCACTATGTCATAGAGTACTGCCGTTCTGAGACTGACATTAATATCTGAGTGTTTTAATAAGTTAAATATGATTCTTAAAAACAGTTTGACATTTGGATAAATGTGCTTATTTCCTTTATTGCCAAGAGTTCGATGAGACGAGTCATCTTGTACTGGTTGTGTCTCACTGCACCCGCCCAAGAAATCACTCCAGCATGTAACTTGCCATAAACCTACAACTCTTTACACTAAGCTAAGCTAACCGTCTGCTGTAGCTTCACTTTTAGCACCCAGAAATAAGAGTTGTGCCGATCTTCTCATCTCACTCTGAGCATGCGAGCAAAAAATGCTGAGCTATTTCTTTGTGTGCATATATTGTGACCAATACCTTATAAGCACTGAGAGAGAAATTTCACAGTTGAAAATAAACTGTGCTTTCTGGTGGCAGTGACACTATTTGTAAATTGTCACTCTAGCCAGGTTCATGTCTAATTCATGAAAAAAATATGTTAAGATTATTTAGAAAGTTTAATTTAGTGGAATTACTTTGGCTAGAATCCACAGTGCACTTTGCAAATGTGATGCGATGCCATTACATTACTCCCTGCTTCATGGAGTGATGTGCTCATGTGTAGCTATTGCGTATGCTATACAAACAGTGTTCATCTTTACATGCCTAGCAGAGAGCTAGTGAAGTGAGCTTTTCAGTTTTTAATTTTTATTTTTTTTCTTTGTCTCAATTGTGTGCCAGCACACGCCTCATGCTATTTGTTGAGCTCTGTAAGTGACAGCACTGCGAGTTGCAGGGAGGCATGTGAAGTGTTGAGTTTTAACGAGGTGATGAGAAACTTGAAAATAGAAAAGAAAGAAAAAAATAATAATCTGCCATCACGTAGTTCTGAAGTTTAACTCTTTATACCATACAGTGTATGCAATGAGAGGCTAAGATTGCTCAATAGGCTCAGTTATTGTCAGATATATCATAAAATATCTGTCATCCACATGGTAGGCGTCTCAGATTCCCTCTCTGAAGCTCATTCTTGTTTGGTTTCCTGTTTCTCTAAGAAATGCATCACTCAGACACCACAGGAATTGTAACAACTAGATAATGTTTCTGATTATTAAAGGATGTTTACTCTTTCATGTCTTTCAAAGAAAAGACTGTTATTTCATAGTATTGTTTCCTTATTCCAGCTGCTGTCCACTGTTCAGTTTTCTCAATTAAGAATAACTTTTTCTTAACCTCACTTGTGCAGTTTTATTGATCTGTGTCCTGCAGGCCCCTGATAGACTTTCCGCTATAAAGAAAAAAACTGATAATAAAAAGAAGGATGGTTAAAGTAGCTCATACAGGTTTTGACTGACATAGAGAACAGCTTGAAACCTGTGCTGTTTTTTAACCTCTGTCGTTTCAGCACCGGAGAACAATGTCAAGTGATTTCAGCATGTGGGTGGATTGAATACGGACTTGTGGTGTGGTGTTGTCATATAACGCAGCGGTTGCTATGGTGTCGGTTAGCTGCCTGGAGGTTATTTTTTGAAAAGAAAGTGGAAATGAGCTTTCAGTTGTGGCCAAAGTGCTTGTGTAGTTCTCCTCTATTAAAAATTGGTGTAAATACGCTGGTCCCCCAGTTTCTGCACGAGCCTATTTTTTGAGCTTTGGTCCAAATGATTAAACTGGTGATGACCTCCAAGTTCAAGATGGAGAGGAGTTTAGTTGCCCTTCATACATTTTACTTTTTGCTTCACCCTTCCAACATGGATGAATGGACAGATAGATCATGGTTGAAGGTCTCAGGGGGCACGTTGCTTAAAAACCCACAAGGCAGCGTTCTTTAGTTTCCTTCTTCCTGGGGCTCTTAGAGTGCTCCTGCAGCATCCTCCTGCTGACTGCTGGATCGATGAAGCTTTGCTAATGGGTTGACATCTGCTAGCTTGCGTGAGGAGCCTAAAGACTTTCTTTTACATGGCACAAACATTTGGATGAAGTCTGTTTTCTTCAGCCTAAGAGGATTTCATCCATTATTTAATTGCTCAAGTTTGTGTATGTTAGATGAGGTTATCTTCAGCGTATACCACGTGTTGAGCATGTTTAACCTAATAAACAAGAGAAGCTGATGATTTTCTTTTTTTCTTTTTTTTTTTTTGAAGGTGTTTGGTGTTTGCTATGATATGGTGGAATATGAACACGTTTTCCTAAACCACGTTAAATGTGCGATGACTGATCAAGTGAGATGTGCATATTGATTGAGTGGAGACTGAAATATTGATCTGTGTTTTCCGTCCCTCTGATCAAAGGAAGTCTGAGCTTGAAATATATCTGCTCTGTATCCCCGCAGGCTTAAAGGGGTGAGAGTAGAAAGAATGAAATTTAGGTGTGACTGCTTATCAATTCTCAAACAGAGTCCCCCCAAAAAAAAGTCATCACTTGTGTGTGTGTGTGTGTGTGTGTGTGTGTGTGTGTGTGTGTGTGTGTGTGTGTGTGTGTGTGTGTGTGTGTGTGTGTTTATCCTAGATGAAATGGGGTGGATGGTGGAGCTCTGTGGAGCAGCTGTCATTAAAGATCCACTTCTCCTCGACAGTAAACAGGTACGAGTGTCAAGCCTCTTCCACTTGAAAAAATAATAAACTCAAAAAAAAGTCACTGTTATTGCCTTCCTGTTGGTCAGTATCATTTTAAAAAAGCTGAACTGCAGCGATGATTGTTTTAAAATCTAATCAGCTGTATTTTAGAGTTTTCATGTGAGCAATTACCACAGCTATCAGCCAGGTCCTCTTTTCTCATTATTATATTCAGGTTTTTCCCTCATTCCTGTACATGATGTTTCATTTTTAATGAATCCGGTTCATTTATGATTCCTATGACTCATGTATTGCAAGCAAAATAGGGAAACTATTACCTGCAGGGATTAGGGGGCACTCAGTAAGGTGTATGACTCTGTCTCCTAGGTATGATTTTATTTTTTAAAAATAGCACATTGATTCAGTGTTGTTTAGCAAATGTCACACTCTAAAAATACCTAGATCCAATAACCACCACTGCTTAATCACAGATTGTTAAACCAGCAAGTTTCCGCCAAGATACTTTATGTTGCTAACAGATAATCTGGCAGACATGGGTGAAAATATCATTTCTTTTGAATATGGTAGGCTATAAGTATATACGTTCTACTTATTGCTAATTTTGTAATTCTGAACTGGACCTCATTTCTGTCTCTTTATTATACAGAAGTCCCATCATCTGGTCATTGTACAGCCTGGATTAGAGTCATCGTCGTCCACATACAGCAGTGAGTCTTATCTGAAAATTACATTTCATTTTCACCTACTACTTTTATACCAGACCACTAAATCTTGTAGTTATTCTCACTTAATCTTTCTTTCTCTCTCTCTCTCTCTCTCTCACACACACACACATACACACATACACATACAGTGTTCATAAAGATAGAGATTAGATTTACAGCAGCAGCAGGAGCTGGTTAAATAATTCATTCATGGTTTCATCTGGGGGTTCAAACCTGGCTCAGGAGTTGACCTATGGAGATTCAGAGCCTCGAAGCAAAGTTATCTGTAAACTTTGTCCGGCAACAGTCGGCACTTCTGGAGGAAATACAACAAATGTATTCAACCACCTTAAAATTAAGCATCCGAAGGAACATGCCAAGAGGATTTACTCAGGCTGGTACAACCCCACTCATCTGTATCTTACAAGGTCCTAAAACATATACAGTTATCATTGACTGATGCATTAATCAGTTGCCATAGATTAAGTAAGTTTACAGAGAAAATTAGTCACTACTGAGAGTACATGTTGTCAAAATAAAGACAGTTTTTCTTTTTATATCAGAAACACAGGGGAGTCTGATTTTTTTAATTAACTCTCAAAATAATTGAGACAAATAGTTAGTTAGGTAGCTCCAGTTTGTTGTGTCCAGCCCTTAAAAAGTGATTTTCTCATTTTTGTAGGTTTTTCTTACATGAAAGAAAAATGTAACTAAACATTTGTCATGATATGGGGACAAAAAAAGAATTGCTTTACAAATGAATGTTTTAACAGGAGCTAACTTGTTAGCTATCATAGCCAGTGCTAGCCAGCAAGCATAGCCAGACTGTGTTCATTAGCTTGTATCTGCTGATGCCTGATAAGACCTTCTGTCTTCGAAAAGGATAGACCTTAAACATTTATTATTATGAATTAGAAAAGTGGTTGAACTTTTGAGCATAATTCTGTTTAGGATGCTCCAGTCTGTCTGAGGAAACAACATCTAGTAATTGTAACACCTATTTTTTCTGTTGCTCAACAAAATTTAATGTGGGCAGTGCTTCACCGGTCTGGATCCAGGCTAGCGCTAGCTTTACATTGAAATTTTACATATTCCTGGACTGCCATTGAACATTAAAGTAAAAATAAATAAAAATAAAAAACTCATTCACTTGTTTGTCATTATACCACATTATTTATTATCATTTCACAAAATTTTCTGGTGTGTGTTATAAAAACTAAAAAAGATTTCCTTTTTTGAAAAGGGCTGTTTAGGGGAAAGTTTTGGGTTAAAGTCAGTAAATTTGTGAGTACATATTAAGTAAATGAAACATCAATTTACTGTATTGATGACTGATTGAAATATATTTTAGTGTCAGTTTTCTTACCTGAATACACTGTAGTGAATAGACGGTCCTCACAAGCCTAGATGTTCTGGCTGGCATACATCTGTGCACCTGTCTGTTCATTAGTCCGCAGATTTCAGTGCGTTTGTGTCTGTGTGAGGACCAGTTGGAGGGTGACAGAACGGTGAAATGGCAGACGCTGCCAGCCAAAATGAGACAGTTTCCCAACAAGAGCAAGGGGAGTGACTTGCCAGGAAAGCGAGTGTGAAGGAAGTTAGGCAGCAGAAGAGAAAATGTCAGATTGGAGCGGGGGGAAATGTCAAAACAAGTTGGCCACAGAAGAGAGAGGCTGCCATAGCATGAGGACAGCTGACAGTTTGAAACAGAGATGGAGCAAGTGGCTCTGAGTCCTCCCTCCTCCTGGCATCCTAATTTGCACTGCTGCATATTTAATGCAGCTTTTCCTCTTCCATGTCCTCTGGCACTCATAGCCCAGGTAATGGAGGAGCCCCTCCACCCTCCCCTTCTCTATCCCCCTTTATCCTCTTCTTCTGCACCATTGATTGAAATCACACACATCTCTCTTTCTCTCAACCATCCTCTGATGTAATGGAAATGTGTGAGTATCTGTGCACACACGCCATTGGTGTTGATTGTGTTTTATAAGAGTTCTGGACTTGTTAGTTCAGGTTTTTCCCTTAAAGGAATATGCTGTGTTTGAATTATGTTCAGATTGGTTGATTAAGTCTGCTAATTATCTTTAATTATGTCTCTGTCAGTGATCTTTCATTATCTGCATTGATAATCATACAGGTATATCTTTCTTTTAGATTAGTAATATAAACATAAAAGAAAAAGGTCATATCTTACTGTATATTAGTTTTTTGTCAAAAAGGAATCCCATTAAAGACCCAAATCAACGATAAAATTGATTCTGCGAACAAGTGTTGCCTGTGTAGCCAGAGCTTATTGCTTTGTGAAATTGTTTTTAAATAATTTTTGGGGCATTTTTATGCCTTCATTAAGGCAGCAACAGTAGAGACGCAGCAGGAAATGAGGGAGAACATCAAGGTTCCCAGCTTGAGTTGAACTGGGGATGTTGTGGTGCGTGGTCGTCATCTTAAGCCACAGTTTTGACCTATTCTTGTCCAAAACCAATGACAAAACATGAGCCACACTGTTGCATTGGCTTACATGTTCCCACTTTGATCTTGAGTCAATGCTAAATACACCATTTTAGTCTCATAAATACTCAACAGGCAACCATAGTGTATTAATCCACTGCTGAAAACAGCCCCAGATAAATGCACCGTTTACTCCTGTTTGAGTGAAAACAACAGCACTCATCTGTTTTAGGAAATTACTTACCCTATTTAAAAAATGAAACTAATCATTTGTTACCCGTTTTTACAGTTTTACATCTTCAGTAGAACTGATGGGCTTGGGCTGAGAGCCACTGGCAGAGTAGGGAAGTCAGAAATGGTATTTGTTGACAATAAGAAATATACAACATAATTACCAGAATTTTCCTTTAGTTTTAACAGAGGAAGATTGTAAGAGTCTGCACATGAGGAATACTGACATACTGTTGGTACTGCTCAGCTCTGAATATCACATGAGAGCTGAAGTATTTAACAGCTGAAAACACAAACACTGTTTGATGCAAAGTGATCTGCTCCAACCTTGCACCAACACAAGAATCCTGTTCTTATAGATGTTGTTTTTGTTCACGCTTATGATTCTTTCATTCTTAGATGTGCTTAATACATTATCCACCCCACAGGTCTCTCCAGACAAGCCACTGTTGTGACACGCGGCTGGCTCTTGGATACAGTTGCAACCTACACCCTCCAAAACTTCAAAAGCTACTCAACATGAGCTGAGGGACCCAGTGCATTATAACCACCCACAGCCATGGGTTTTCTTCTCATGGTCTTTTTTATAAATTCAGTGTTTGTTTTTTTTTGTTATGTGTAATGCTGTCACTATACTGTCATCTGTTTCATTAATAAGCTGAAAGCTCTGTGTGTTGTATGTGCATGACACAATATATATAAAGTTTATAAACAGAAGATGTTTGAATTGAGTCTTTTTCTTTTTGTTTGAATTGCACTGGTATTAGTGCACACATAAATATAACATTGATACCCACAATAACTAGTAACCTAAGTAACCTCCCTTGGCATCCAAATTAATTAAATGCTACACTCAAAGTTAAGTTGACGTTGTCATTGTGATCAATATCATCCTTGGGGGTTTCAGAGAGAACAATTTACGGTATTTAGTACTTGATGTCTCCTGTCAGGTTTAATGTATTTTAATAAGCTCTTGTCATCCCTGTTCTCCAATGTTCCCACTGATGTTCCATGGTTCTGCAACTGTTTGCAAATCCCTAGTGTAATACCAGCTTTCTAGCTTTCCTGAACATCGCCTGTATGCTGTAACATGTTCTGCACAGAGTTTTCATAAATTATTCTACAACCAGCGTGTGGGAATAAAATGACAGGGAAGAGATTTATAGGAATGGGCCATATGAGGGCACAAAATGACCCCCCTTATGTGTACAAGATTTTATGTAATCTCAAGAAGATAAAAGTGCATGTCAGATAAGGCCACATTAAAGTATTGCTTTAGAACATCATGCAGCTGTAACACTTGGGTGTGTAGGGTGGTTTTTAGGTAAAAGGTAAAATGGGTCAGAGCAGATTGAAATCCTCCTTAATTATAATGTGATGGTGCTGTAATTTGGGCTGCTAATAAAGATTGTTTTCATTATTGATTAATCTGCTAATTATTTCCTTGATTAATCTGGTCAATAAAATGTCAAAATTGGACACAGTCCCTCTAAAGTCCAATATGATGTCTAAATGAGATTTTAAACAACAATACAGCAGCAAGCCACTATTTTCTATGTGAAGATATAGAAGTAATGGCGTGCTGAGCATAGAACCACCCCTCTGTATGGTTGTGATCTTGTGATCCAGCTTTTCTGTTCTTTGTTTTGGTAGCTGGTTTGGCAGCACATGCATGTTAGTGCATGTACGTGTGCATGATAGTGCAGGAGTCCCTCACTGTTAAACTGACCCTCCACACAGAGGCACCGCCCACAGGTGAGATGGCACAGTGCAGCATGCAGTACTCAGGAGAATGCAACCTTCCAGAATTTCCTCCACTGTTTAAAAAGGCCTCGGACCAAGAAAGAGATAAGTTAGCACAGGTTATCTGCCATGGCGACTTCTGGCTCAAATCCTGGTTAAAACATCTGTAAACATTTTACTGGCACCGTCAATGTCATTTGTGCCGCCAGCTGAATTTCTTTCTGGCTCCAACTTTGAACTGTCTTTACCAAGATGGAGAACACTAGGAGCTGCCAAAGGCCCCCAGTGTGACTCGGAACTGGCTTCTCTTCTCCTCAACTGTAAGTAACTTGGTTGCTACTTAATTTTACGTCTGTTTTCATTAGTGACCGGCTACATAAGGTACAGTTACGTTAGCTAACTTGCTGTTACTGATATTATGAATGTGCTGGCAAACGTTGCTACCGCTAGCTAGCTTACTGCCGGCATTGCTGTGGAGCATATCACGGCAATACTGTGGGCTAACGGTTGTGTCTTGATTGTTTCTTGTTACTGTTACACGTTCACTTTATTCGGTTGTGTTTCTTGATGTGTTTAGTGTCCGCTTCACTGGGCTTTGTACCACTTTGCTGACCGACAAAGTAAAAAGGAAGGAAGGGTTGTGGTCCACGAAGTATTTGTAGTGGTCTGGATGCTGGTGGTCTAGTGTGAAATCTAGTGACAGTAACGATCACTTACAGAACCTTTTACTTGCGTTGTCCTACCAACAACCTAAAACCCAGAGATATTCCGTTTGCTATCACATACAATAAAGAACAGCTGAAAATGGGAAATAAACATTTTAATCATTATCAAAGTAGCTTTATTTTTTTTCTGATTGACTAGTTTAGTATTCAATTTATTATTTAGGGTCTAGTTGAAATTTTAGGTTGCGATCAGCACCAATTTATGCTGTGATTTTGCGTGTGCTCTCACTATGTGGATGAGGTAATTACATGTGTAATGTCTGCCCACTAATGGAATAAGACAGAGCCCCTACTTTACTCCTACTCTACTCTCACATTACGCCCCCTACGAATATGCAGGGGCACTAAAACCAAACAAATTTATCAGCTTTGAGTGCCATTGCCAAGTTTTACATCTTTAGTGTGAACTAAACTATGCTTTATCAGACTTGGCTCACTAATAACATTAAGTTTAACAGTTTAATGTTGTTAGTATCCCAGATGTACTCAAACGAACAAACTGAATTTCACTACTGCAGTAAATGAAACTTCTTGACCCAACCCTATTTACAAGGCCACATTCTTACCTGTTCTGAGTAACATAAAACACAGAGACATAAAACATTTCCTAACCAATTGTTGCTAAATCCACATGCTGTTGTCAAATGTTAAAAGCAAACAAGAAATGTGGGGAAAATACTTTTATATAACAATTGATATTTTCTATACTTTCATGCTCATAAAGTGTTCTAGTTTTTGGAAAGCAAAACAAAACAAACACTTTAGGTTTATCACATATCCACTTTCATTAATATGTGACTCCTCCTGCTTTTAAAATATAAGTAAGAAACCAGTGGCTGCCTATGTAGTTTTGATTGTAGTGTCTTGCCATTCCTTGCATTTATTTCACCAACAAAAATATATATTTCACTCTAACAAAATGCTGAATGCAGCACCGATATAGTTCTGAGGAGACAGAAGCTTTACTGTCTTTGCCTCATCCAACCCTCTGTTTTTACTCTTGCATCACCAGCTCCCTATCCACCTCTGTCTTCTGTATTTTATTGGAGGATCATTTTCCAGGGGCAAGATTCGGCATCACTTAAAATGGGGAATTCAAGCTCTCTGACATTGTGTAGTAATGTCAGCAAATTCCAGCCTCATAATGTATGAGCAGATTTCATTATACACAGTGTTTGTAGTGATAATAAAGTGTTGTTAGTTGTCTGTGTATAGCAAAATAGGACTCTATGACTATGACTAAAGACTGTTAGTCAGCTTACGAGGTGCTGGTAGGCCGATTTTGTTACCTTCAGATAGAGCCCGGCTAACTGTGACCCTGTTTCCGTTCGTGCTAAGCTAACCATCTGCTGGCTCCAACTTCATACTAACTGGACAGATCCCAAAATGTCAAAGTATTCGTTTAAGTTTCTAAACTCTACTTGGCACTCTGTTTCATTCATAAGCTCAGGTCTTCTCTCTCGCATTCATGAAAAATGAGACCATGTACAATGTGTAGACAACATTTCATATAAGGAAAACATACCGCCTTAATAATGTATGTTTCTACTTATAGCACTAGGTCAAGGTCCCTTAGGAGATGTTGGTGATCTGCACAGTGTTGACTGTAATCCATGCAATAACCAGAATGAATGTTGTGGGGGAAATTGTATCTACATGAAACATCACCCATTGAAACAACATGAAAATGAGTGAGTAATGTTTGAAGGGCAGAGACGTAGTAGAAAAGAAACATTCTGCCCCTGCAGCCACGCTCAACTTTTCTAGCAGAATGAGCTTGGAACAATTATGCCTTTAGGGGATGAGTCTACTTGAATGACTGAACCCTATATCAACCTTTTATATAGATGTCGGCTTGAAGGCCAAAGGGATGATTATAACCTCCTATATTTTGCTAGAAGAGTTTTTTTAGTGCTGAAGGATGGATACGTAATAAGGTTACTAAGGTGGGGTAATTTTACATGCTAAAATTTACGTCCAGACTCATTAACACATTAGACAGACTCTCTTCTTTAACTACAGAACTTCTTTATATAAATTCATAAGCCCAGTTTAAAGAATACCATGGGAACATTATTTTAATTTTTCCATAAATTAATGGCGATTAATAGCAATTTGTGTCTGTGAAATTTGGTTGAAGGATAAATACAAATGCTGGACTCAGTGTCATTCATCGCTATAACAACAACAGATATCAAAAACCAGGTGGCTAAGGAGCCCACACAAAACAGTAATGTCAGCACGCTTGCTCTGAGGCCTTTTAAATGCCAGATGTGCCGTGCCAGACGCCAGAGTGCCAGGACGTTGTTTTCCTCTAGTCAGCTGATTTTTTTTTTTTTTTTTTTCATTGCAGAGCTGCAGCGGAGCGTACATTCAGCTCAGTTACTCTTTATGAGAGATGTGGTTACAGCTTGATACAGAACAGAAGCTCACAATGCAACACTGTTTGCTTTCTTTTACTACACAATTAAGTAAATGGTTACGATGAGTGAAATGACTTTTGATAGTTTAAATTCCAGTCCTGTTCCTCAACTGTCAGGTGACTAAAAGATGATTTTCCAGCACATCAGCAATAAATTAAATTGATGTCTAACAGTAAATGTAATACAATGCCAACATACTGATTTGAAGGCTCTAGTTGAAAATTCTGGGCAATGCCAACGTTATTAAAATTCATCCTGAGGGGAATGTAAAAGTGTGTACCAAATTTTCAACATGGCAAATGATGTGATAGTTGTCGAGACATTAACTTCGACCTGCTGTTTGCACAAGGTCAAAGTCTTTTAGGGTGCATCCTCAGGGCACCATGAATGTCTGTTTCAAAATTCATGGCAATCCATTCAATAGTTGCTGAGACATTTCACTAAAAAACAAAAATGTGAACTTCATGATGGAGCTAGAGAAAAGGTCAGTGTCAGTAGGATTCATCCTCTAGGGGGGAAAAAGTAGTAGACTGACTGATGGACGTGCCACTAGCATGGATAAAAATATAATCTAAAACTTTTTTTGTGATGTTTTAGTCAGTTGAGAAAGTCAGCCCATTAAAATCACAACTGGGTGGTCCAAAAAGAGTGTCACTATGTCATTAATCACTGAGGTTATTTTCGGAATAAGGAATAGGGAATAACCAATTTAAATATAATTTATTAGTCACAAGGTGTAGTTTCTCTGTGTAAAGACAGTTCTGTGTTAGAGCCTTTAACTCTAACTG